CGGGGAGTACCTAACAGATCTTCTAGAAATCCTCGTCCAGATCAAATAAATGTATATAAAAGACACCTGCAGCATGCTGGAGCTGCAGAGAAATCAATGCCTGGTGCTCAGCGTTAACAAATGAGCCCAGTGTTTAAAGATGCCAACGAGTGACTGCTCCCTTTGTTTGGCCTTTCTGAAAATCATGGCCCGTGTAATTGTTTACATAATATCAATAGCAGTCATGGGAAAAGCTTATGAAATGTGTAACTAGTTAAAGTTTAAAGTTAGCAGCCTTTAAAATTAACTTGAGTTAAGTTAAAAGTTAAATATTTCTACTTTCAACTAGTTAAAAGGTAAGGTAAAAAGAGAGTAACTAATTAAAAATTCAATTGATTCATGAGAAATGTGTGAAACACGGTGAATTGCCTCTTAGCATCATTTTTCATTTTCAAATGCAATGAGTGGGTTTCTTTTTCATAACCCCACAGAAGCACACTAATTTACTCAGAACTCACCCTGCTTTACCTGAGAACAATGTTATACTTGTAATACAGCTTTCAGAATAACAATTTACCAATACCTATGTAATGTTAGATCCTTCTCACCCTCTCTATGTGAAGTAGTTTGTAAAAGTCAATGCATCATATAGGTATACCAGAATAACAGAAAGAAGGTATTCATAGCCAGGTGACAAATGAAAGCTGTTTTCACAGAAAACCTCCATTGCTACAATTTTTATTGCTCAAAAGGTAACAAAAGGGTATGATATACATTTGAATTAGAAATAATGAAAGTGTCTGAAAATCAAAATTAGACTGAAATGAGAAAATCAGTTTAAATAAGAAAAAGAAAGTTAAGTTGCATAGCAGAAACTGTTTAAACATGCTTATTGAACTTCAGCAAAACCTGCATTTCAAAATTTACATCTGACAATTTTCCTCTTCTGTCTTGCAAAACTACGCCCCCACTACTGAGCAATCACTCTACATGGGCAGATAAGGGAATGCTTGTGTTATAACGGATTAATAGGTGTTTCATAGTAGGTGACATTTCAGATAAGTTTTTCACAGATGAGAAGTAATGCTCAATTTCTTGGGCCCTGGACTGCTGGTTCTGATTTTCATTAAAATTAAAAAAGTCATCACCTGCTTCACCCTCACTACTTGCTCCCACTCTTACTGGGATCAATGTCTCTGCTTGCTTGTGCTTCTTCCCTCTCCTGCAGCCAACTGGCTGCCCTGTTGACTTCTGTGAATGCACAGAAAATGCCAGCATGAACTAAGGAACTCTGAGACTTGTAGTTCTTCAGAGACCATATTTCATAGGAAGGCACACTACTCTTTGGCTCTCAAAAAAAGAAGTCCTAGAGTTTCAATAAAGAAATAAAATATCATACCATGCAAGTCCTGCAGAGTGGCTGTGTCAGGAAAATCTCTGGGAAAGCCAGATTTCAATTTTTTAAAACTTTTAACTTATACTTTAAAAAAAATTAATCTTAACCCTTTTTTTTAACTAGTTAAAGTTAAAAGTTGACAGCTGAAAAATTTAACTAGTTTAAGTTAACTAGTCAATTAACTAGTTAATTCCCATGTCTGATCAATAGTGTATATGGTGCTGTACAATATGTGTGCTGCAGCAATCAGAGAGCACACCCTTCCTGTAAGGTGCTTACAAACTAAGGAGCATATTTTCAGAAGTGATCAGCTTCTGCTTTGACATAAGAATAACCCAGCCAGCTGTCTTGGAGAACTCAGCACCCCAGCTGCATTTTGGCTTCAAAGCAGTTGTGAAAATCTCTCTCTGATTTAGGTGTTCCATGAGGGGCATGGCTCCAGCCAATGCTGCATCTAGAACACCCATCAAGAATGACAGGTGAGGTGGATGGGGTACCACAACCCACCACCCTGTGCCGCTGCCATCTCTCAGGAGTGGGGAGGCAGGGGTGAAACTTGCACATGGCAGACGCTGCTGCCATCCACTGCCCTGTGCTGCTGCTGCTCCGCATCCAGCTGCATGCAAAATCTCCCTTCCCCCACTCCTGGGAGGTGGTGGCGGCACAGAGCAGGGGCAGTGCAGGGCCAGACATGGAGCAGGGGTGGAGGGTGGCACAGGGCTGGATGTAGAGCGGGGGGCATGGCACAGGACCGGACATGGAGTGCTGGCAGCACAGGGCAGTGGGTGGCAGCGGCAGCAACTTCCTCCCCCTCCCCCCCCATCATTCTTGACCGGCAATTTGCTAGTATATGTGTGTGTGTGTATGTGTGTGTGTTTATTTATTTATAAATAAATAAATAAATACACACACATACACACACATATTCCTTTGAGAGGACGATCTGGGGAGATAT